AAAGGGGGCGGGACCAGGGAACCTAACCATAATTGACAGGTGGCTTGCCCTATGATTGCAGCCAAAAGAAGCACCTATCTGCAGAGTCCCTGAAACTTAGGGCTACAACAAAATTCAATGCAAAGCAAACAAAATTGGAACTCCTGGTACAGCTGTACCTGCACAAGACCAATGTATAGCACTGTTGTGATAGAGTCTGCTGGCAGTGATAGTAATACTAGTTGTATTAGGAGAGGCTGGAAAACTATTTATTTTATTTATTTATTTAAAAGTTTTGTATGCTGACCTTCTCACCTCTCTTGAGGGACTCAGACCGGTTTCCAACCATAATATCACATACAGTCAATAAAACATCATAATTCATATTACAGTAAAACATTAAAACAGCAATTACATTCAATAACTACAATGGTCAGTCGTCACACTAAAATCGTTGTTCATCATCCTCCATCCATATCTTAGGGTGTTGGCTCACTCGTCGAATGCCTGTTTCCATAACCACGTCTTCACCTGTTTCCTAAATGTCAGGATAGAAGGGGCGGTTCTGATCTCCAGTGGGAGAGAGTTCCAGAGTCGAGGGGCCACCACCGAGAAGGCCCTGTCCCTCGTCCCCACCAGACGCGCTTGCGAGGCTGGTGGGACCGAGAGCAGGGCCTCTCCAGACGATCTTAATAATCTTGATGGTTCATAGGGGATAATGTGTTCGGAGAGGTAAACAGGGCCAGAGTCGTTTAGGGCTTTATAGGTTAACACCAGCACTTGAATTGTGCTCGGAAGCTAATTGGCAGCCAGTGGAGCTGGTGTAACAGCGGAGTGGTGTGCTCCCTGTACCCAGCACCCATGAGTAGTCTGGCTGCCGAGCGTTGGACTAGCTGCAGCTTCTGGGCAGTTGAAAATACAAAAAAGACCCTTATCAAAATACACTTATTGCATGGACAATAACAATGGGTCGTGACCTTTGGGGCTCGAAGTTGGACCCCCCCAGGGGAGGCGACCATTTGACATTGATGATCATCTCTCTATAGGACAAAAGGGGCCTTCGGAAAGCCACACCTGTCCTGTCACCCATTCATCTCTTCCTCCACCGAAACTTCCACCAATAGTACTTCATTGTTCCCATATCTCAGCCCCAGGAAAATCTGGATTCTGGCAGGCTTGCCAGACATCAATGTTTATTGCTATCAATCAGAGACAATAGAATTGGCTGGCTTGTAGGCCCCCAGGACTCGCTGGCTGCTAGGATATCCCCTATCTACATAATCCTCTCAAGAATCCATTGCTTCCCTCTCGTCCGGCCTCTCTCTCCTGATTCATCGGGGAACGGAGGCGGCAGAAGCTCAGCTATTGGTGCAGGCACCCAGGAGGCGGCCAAGCCTCCTCCCAGCTGTAGAGCGCCAGCCAATCATCATCGAGCCAACAGGGGGGCGGGGAACAGGAAATTCAAATCTGACAACTCTGTTTCTGTATAAAAAAGGCTTTTATTTGTGTACATGTTATGCTTTGCTTGGCGAAATATTGCGGCTTTGCATCCTTTCCAGCTAGATCGCAATAAAATCATCTTGGCGCTTTCTTCAACTTTGGTGAGATTCTTTTGGGAACTTAGAGAAATCTTTTAAATTGCGGCTTCTCTTTGCTCACCACTGTAGGGAGCCCTCTTTGGTGGGTCCGCAGGGTCTCTCCTTCAGGTTGAAACCCTTTTAAATTCCACCTCGATTTCATTTCTTGCTGTTTCTTTGTCAGTGTTGATGTAGAGATTTTCTGGTTTGCCTACTCTGGAACATGCAATATATAATTGTGCTTCTTTAGGGGTCAAATCTATGATACTATATCTGTCTGTGTGCGAATCATATATATCTACATCTATATCTATGGCTGGATGTCTCTTTGTCAGGAGGGCTTATCTTTGTGTCTAGATCAGTATTTCTCAACCTGGGGGTTGGAACCCCTGGGGGGGGGGGGGTTTGCAAGGGTGTGTCAGAGGGCTTGCAATAGACCATCAGAAAACAGAGTATTTTCTGTTGGTCATGAGGGTTCTGCGTGGGAAGTTTGGCCCAATTCTATCGTCGGTGGGGTTCAGAATGCTCTTTGATTGTAGGTGTACTGCAACTCCCAAATGTCAAGGTCTATTTCCCCCAAACTCTATCTGTGTTCATATTTGGGCATATGGAATATTTGTACCAAGTTTGGTCCAGATCCATCTGTTCTGGAACAGCTGTTCCAGGAGCTCCAATTTTATTTCTTTGGATTAAATGTTTGTTTGCAATCCCAGACTTGGGATTTTGCAGCAGGGTGGCTTCCTGTTTGCAATCATAGGGCAAGCCACCTGTCAATGATTGTTAGGTGCCCTGGTCCCGCCCCTCTCTGGGTTTTTTTGGAGGGAAGGGGCCATTTTTTGTCTAGTCTCAAAAAGGAAGTCAATGCAGAGGATGTACACAAACGTCCTCCTGTGCAAAGGCTT